AGGCGACTGATTCCCCCTATCCAAATATATGGGTTCGGGAAATTTCTGATTTCTTCGCCAATTTACGATTATTTCTATAAAATTAGGTACCAAATTACAGAAAAATTAATGCCGGACTGACGTAAACAACAATTTTTTGTATATAGTGAATATTTTTATTAAAAAAATTAGAAAGAATAATGAAAAAATTATGAATTGACTTGCCGCGCTTAAATTTCAAGATGGCGGCCACATCATTCAGATGAAAAATCACTAATTATTTCATTTTTATACGTTTTTCGCCCAAAATTCGTGTTTGCGTCAGTCCTTGCCACCTGTCTGAATGTCAAAAAAATCAATTCATAGTATAAAATTGAATAATTTAGAAATAATTAGAAATCTTGTATTCCAGATGATATTCTCCGGAAAATTAGTTTGAAAAAATTCTGATAGGTGACAGCATTACGCTCGCAGATGACCTCAGTCATTCATATTGAAAAAATGCTCAATCCGTATCCAGAACTGATGGTGCCCTGCATTTTGGTGAGTAATTTGTGTATGAGTGTGTACGGGTAATATATGTATGTGATGTAAACATAGTGTATCGCTTAACAATGCCTTATACTTTGATGACTATTGCAGTTAGAATAAATAAAAATGATGATACTCATTTAACATTAATTAATATAATACCTGAAAATAACTTCAACAAATATTCATCCATTATTATCATTTTTATTAGGTATAAATGTTAATCAAAAAGCTCAATTCCGAGTTGGCGTATCCAAGCATGTAGTATAAAAACAAATACACATAAACTCAATATCGAGATTATGCTGGCCATGTGGTTAGAGCGTCAGAGTTCTATTTTGCCGGGCAGGGTTCGATCCTAGTCATAATCACTTTTTTTTCTACTTTATTCGTTAGATTAGCATGTAATTATAATATTGACATGCCATAATTGATCCATTATAATGATTTGATTTTTTTTTCTCTTTACTCATTTAATTTATTGACACTAAGTCGGAAAATATTTGAACAGAGCCATAAACTTTTTTTTTGTATAAATACATTGATAATAGCCTGTGTTTAACAACTTATACATCTTTACATGTATTAACAATGTTATGTTATTAACAAGTTAATCATATTATTATTAACATTGAAAAGTAGTTTAAACAATCTGTGGCGAGTTTCGGCACTTTCCCGGCAAGTTCTACCCCCACTCTCTGTGCCCAAGCCTGCAGCTTATAATTAAACATAACATAAACATGTTATAATATAACATGATAAAGTTTTTTTTTTCTCTTTTATTTGTTAGATTTGCATGTAATTATAATATTAACATGCCAAAAGTAATTGTTTACAACGATTTGATTTTTTTTTCTCAATTATTTATGTAATTGATCGACGCCGAGTCGGAAAACATATGAACAGGGTTATAAACACTTTTTTTACTATAGCTATATGAACGTAGCTTTTTTTTAAGCAATTTAGAAATATTTAGAAGTAGTTGAAATAATCCACGGGGATTTCCGGCACTTCGCCGGCAAACTCTATCCCTACCCTTCGTACCCAAGCCTGCATTATACAATTTATAAACATAAACATAATGTCAAAGATGATGTGTTAGCTCTGTGAGTAGAACACCAAGCTTTCATTTTACCGATTAGGGTTCAATCCCAGTCATAGCCAATTTTTTTTTTCCTTTTTTTTTCATTAAAATTTTATATAAATACAATAATTGGTTGTTTATATAAGTTCAAAATCAATTCCTATTGTCTTTTAAAGACAACACTTTCGAAAAAAGAGAATTCATAGTAACTCGTTCCTCACCCTCAGCTGATTTTCAGAAAAACAAGTTGTTTTCCGTAATTAATTGGAAGAATAATTTAATCAAATATATGAATTAATTTATAAGTATATAAAGTCACTTAAGCAAAAAAAAGAAAAAACAATTGCCTATGACTGGGATCGAACCTTGCCCAGCAAAATAAAAGATTGGTGCTCTAACCACTGAGCTATTATGGTTTCGATAATGTTAAAGATGTTTAAAAATTATAAGCTGCAGGCTTGGGCACAGAGAGTAGGGGTAGAGCTTGCCGGTGAAGTGTCGGAACTCGCCGCGGATTGTTTAAACTATTTTTTATTGTTAATAAGTTGTTAAAAAAGGCTATTATCAATGTATTTGTACAAAAAAAGGTTAATGACCCTGTTCAAATATTGTCTCATTTGTCATCGATTGATTGAAAAATAATTTTACATAAAAATTGAAATTTAAAACTCATTTTTGGCATGATAAAATTGCAATTACATGCAATTTAAATAAAAAAACAATTTTGCCGCAATTGGAATCGAACACCGTTCGGTAAAATAAATGTCGAATCTTCTGACTACAGAGCCAGCATATTTTCATTTGCTTTGTTTACGTGGGGGATGTGCTTGCTCGTCAACTGTTCGAACTCGCAGTCTTCTCTGAAAAATAAGACGGAGATAGATAGATATATTCTGTGCTCTGTCTTGCTCGAAACAGATTATTCAAAAATTTGTAAATTTCTTGGTGCCCTAAGGCTCCCTTTTTGTAGTGCATCCCTGAAAATTATCATTTTTCGAACGATTTCCCTGTTACCTACTCAATTTCAGTTGATGTCAAGCTTCGGCCTTTTGCCGCACAACACGAGGGCGTAAAGTCAACTCCGGGAAACTTTCTGACTTCAGCCCAGCCTTAACGTAAATTGTATAGTAGGAAGTTACTAATTCAGTATCATTGTAGTTAAAAAAAGGTCATACAATTTTGATAGAATTTCGCCTCACTTATTTGTGACTTATTCAATGACTTAAATTTAAATTATTTCATAACTTTAAACCGACATTTGTATGCTAATATTGTCGTAACATAATTGTGTAAATTTTTTTTTTTAATTTTTCTTCACTTTATAGTAACTAGTATGCATCCGATTGAATTAACTTTCAAGATATCTAATTGAAGAAGTTGACAATAGAATTATCTACGACTAAAATTCGATTAAATGAAAACATCATTTGTTGATATAAATAGTTTTTTATTGAAAATTATATATATATATATATATATATATATATATATATATGTTATTGAAAAATAGGCGATAATATTGTACTATATATAATCTAAACATCTACATATATATTATATAGGAAGACAATAAATATTAATCGTCATCTGATGATTCTGAATGGGTATCATCCACGTCGTTACTTAATAAGGCATTCTCGCGATCCCTCCGAGCTTGGATTGCTTGTTCTTTAGCCGTCGTCTTTCTTCTTTCATTTCTTATTCTATCGCCGCATGTCCTTAGGAATGTTTTCATTTGTCCCTCGAACTCATCTAATTGAATGTTTAATTTATACCGCGGTCTGCGGAGAACTTCTGTAAAATACATAAATAAATTTATAATTAAATATATGTATTGTAAAACAATAATTCTACAAGTGAAGTTTGTGATAATAATATTAGATGCATATTAGTATTTACATTGGTAAACTTCATATCAATAGCATTATTTAATCAAAAAAATATCTTTCAGACAAGTCTGTTAGAATATTTTAGAACGAAGAATTTTTCGACTTACCAAATATTATATCAGGAAGTTTTCCTTCCTTCATCGCAATTTTTTCTTTGTTGGTACCGAACCACGTTATCTGCCGACACAATTCATCCATTACAATTTTTTTCTTAATGTTCGATACTGCTTTTTGAGGAGTTTTCCCTCCAATCATCGCGATTTTGTTTACCTGCAGATGTATAAAAATTACATATTAATTATGATATATAAATATACACATGTATACACATGTTCACAGAAAATGTTTTTTCTAAATTCGATTTAGTTACTTACAAATTGTTTTTTATATGCAGGGTTTTTTTTAAGATTTCGGTCGAATGTGAGGAAACTCTTAATGTCAGTAAATGGCATATTGGGGAGCAAATCACTCTCTTCTGCGTTAGCCGCCTCAACATTTCGTGATGAATTATTTTTTAATAGCTGCATAATCTCTTCTAATTTTTCATTTCGTGAGTCCATTGCCTCCATCATAACCCGCTGATTTTCACCGAGTACTACCATATTACTTGTGATTGCGACCGTATCTATTACTTGTACTTCACTGATTTGGCTAGATGCTGTAACATACGCACAGGTGTAAGCATTATCGATAAAAAGAAATGTTTATATCCATGATAGCAACATTATGATACAATAATTTGAATAATAACAATCATATAGTTCTTAAATAATTAATTATACGAACCAGTTGTAAGATTTTCCGGAGATTCCTCAATATCATCCACAAATTGACTTGGAGGGGGCGTTATAGGGATCGCTGATAAATCCATTACTTGTGCAGTCACAATAAAAATTTCAAAAGATATCTTTTCAAATTGTCACAATTTTAAAATTATAGCACTTTTGAACTATTGGAATAATGCACAATGGTTGAAGAAAAAACAAATATCACTTTTTATGAAATACTCGATAGCAAATTCACTCAAACTTCAGCTATGCACTCGCTGATATATCACGAACAATTGATTTAGTGGAGATAGATCATTTGACGATTTCTTATGATTCAAACTCGCCGATTGTCTACAAGTCCAAACCAGATGTTTAATCTTTTATTGCACATATTAGACCAAAAAGGGAAATTCCATATAAAAAGTAGCCATTTGGATTTCTAACGATGAAAAAAATGCGCTCTCGAAAATTTTAAATATTAAATATTGTTTAATAATTTATATATAATTATATTTTATCAATTTTTATTGTTTAATCAGGTATTTTGAAGAAATAATACCTATTATTTCCTTGCGACATTCATGTAAAATTTTTATTTAAAATCATTTAAAAATTAATTGAATGGTTGAAGGAATAAAAAAAATGTTATTGTTAAAATCAAAGATTTAAAAATAAGTGTAAAAATTTCAATTAATAGCAACAGAAAAGTTTGTATGTATCAAAGGATATATGAAGTAATCGTTTTCAGTTTTGACGATAAACCTCTTTTTAGATATTTTTTTGACAGGGCAAGATTGTAAATCTCCAAGTTCGATTATTTTCATTATACCTAATATGCGTGAATCGAAAGGATAATGAGCTACTGATTCATTTCTTTGGACTTGACTCTCGAATATAACAGGTTCATTGCCTGAATAACAAATATGTTTTATTAATATAATGGTATTATTATCGAAATAAACACAATTATTAGGAGGTTTTGTTAAAGTAAATATATAATATTGAAATATTTCGCAAAGAAAAATTAACATCGCGGTTTTAAATTCGTATTTACTCTTCGAAAGAGTCACTTTTAAGTCAAAAATAAGATGTTATACAAAAGATGTCTTACAGATGGTGTCATCGTGCATGACTACGAGAACTTTCAAAAGATGTAAAGTTACCTACAAAATTCAACTTTTCGGCATCTCTAAGAAGATAACAAAATATATACGATCAGAATTAATCACAAAATTGGTTGGAAACAGTTAAATCAGAAAATCTTAGTGTTTTCGATGTAGAAAATCGAACAAACAATTACATTGAGGCATATCATCGAGTGCTAAAAAATTGATTTGGAGTTCATTCAAATTTTGGGGAATTTACCGGTAAATAAGTCATTAATGTACCATTTGAAAATAATGAAATAAGTAACAGTGAAAAAAAAGCTAAACTTCACGATAGTTTAACTCAATAACGCTTCCTCTTATACTAGTAAAAAAATCGATTTTTTTAAATTCAAAAAATCAAAGTTATGTTTATTAACTACCAATCTTTATAGAAAATGTGTGCAAACTGCAACAAATCACTATAAAAAATCAAACTCTTTATCTATGGGTTTTCTGATAAGAACTGAATCGTGAAGGACTCATTTCGAACAAATTTTGCTTCTCAACAGAGTATGGGAATTATATAAGGATAATAAATTAGATATTCTAAAATTAATTGCATGTGTTGCTCATATCATACTAGTATTGGATAACAGAGAAACATTAAAAACTATACAATAAGTTGATGCATTTATTAATTGTCATATAGATCTAAATGGTAGTAATTATTATAAATACTTTTTCGAATTAAATATTCTTATTATCAATTACAACATAATCATATTACTCTGTATTGTAGGTATTGCATATGACATCATTATAATTATTCATAATTAAAATTGCCATATATAGTTGTGTTAAAACATAAACATTCCAGTTTTCCGAAGAAAAATGTGTATACACAACAAATTGTTGATTGGTTCTTTATGGAATTCAATTCAATGTTATAGCAGTTAATGTAACTATTAAAATCATCATAATGTTATAAGTAATCAATAAAAGTTTATTCCATTAGAGAATTTTCTGAAAGTTGATTGTATTTAAATAATGAGTTTTATTATATAAATACAATCGATTACATAATTTTTTTTCAATAAAAATAAATATTATGAATGATTGAGCGAATGACTTCCATTACGGTGAAATCTTCAATTCATTATTTATAATTCTTAGAATTTGCTTATACTAAATCATAACCAATCGTGTACTCTTAATTTCATTGATCAAGTTTTATTATTGAAATTTAATTTTGTGTGATTAACTGAACCATGTAAAATGCAGTCCTCAGTTTTAAACATTCGCGGTTAATTTCATTTCGGAGTATTTCTCTACGGTTAAATGACAGTTCGTCTCATATGTTGTTCAGTATTTCTTCGGTTCATGTAAACTATCCTGTCGTGTTATTTACGTTTGGAAGACATTACCGTAAGCCATGTACATTAGAATGTAGACGGCTTCATTTATTTATTCTGATAACCATGGAGATAATCGATAACAATAACAGTATCTTTTCGTTGTACTTACGTTTCTCAAATATTGAAAGCTTCAATCATGCAGTTTCTATGATAAAGCTATTATCTATTTTCTCATAAAACTTCATCAACAATGATTACATTAGAAGTTACTTCTTTCAAAGTAAAAGAAAATACTCATAAAACGATTAATCAAGATGGACGTGACATTACACCAAAACCTCTTGTTCATCATAATTATTCGATTCTTTATGATAAAAATATGATGTATTTGGATTCAATCATTTCGAGGCAGAAAATTAACACTACAAATCATATTAAATTCTCATCAAAAAATGACAGATCAATTTTATCGCTTATAAACTCAACGTCATTATCTACAGGTATTTTAGATACTGATGATATAGAAAATTCCATATTTTGGTCAAATCCAAACTCCAGAGTAGACAGTACTGATCAATTTCTGTTGTGTCTTCATCGACCAGAAAGGTACATTTATACCCATATATTCATGTTTAAAATTTTTGTAACTCATTTTTTTTATAAAATTATTTTACAAAAAGATTATCATACAAGTGTAAACATTTTACTGGTTAGTTGTCAAGATTTTTAGCATTTCGAATGTAAATATGTTTCTTAATATGCAATTTCATAAACTGTTGTAGTTGCAGTCATAAAATTGAAAACGAAAGTTCTAAATGCTCTTACTTGACAAAAAAAAAAATAATATTGACGGAATCAGAAACAACTTTCATCTTCAAGTTATTACAATTAACAGAAGATTGTAACACTTCTGACGACGCCGTAGTTAAAGAAGCAAAAAAACAGTCTCAAAATCCTGAAACAAAATTAGAATTTATTAGACCAGTTATCGATACTGCAACTCAAACATTTGAAATTCTCACTAAATCGAGATTTTCACATTTGGCAAGTTTGAAAATGATCAATCGTAAAAATTTAACCAACAATTGGATAATGCACGATGCATATAATACAACTAAATTAGAAAGAAAAACAAACGGGTTACTATATGAAAATATATCAAAAGGAATCCCTCACTCTGAGAAATTACAGGTGCCGATTTTTGATTATTTTGTATTTGATTTATCGAATTTAGGACATTGAATTACTGACACTTGAAAAATTTTGTACATTTGGCATCAGTATTTTGTTGTATTTGTTAGACATACTTCGAATTAGAGATCAGCACAAAACTTTTCAATCAATCATTACTCAATCCACTGAGAAATTATTAATCAACAAATGGATACATACATTCTAATTATTTCCAATCGGAAGAACTTTTGGTTTTGAATTGACCTTATTGAATCCTATTAAATTCAATTCAAAGTCGACTCCAGTTCGAATTTAAGAGAGTACTTCTATAGCTTGTTTGGTGCAGAATTCAATTTTATGATGATTTTAAGATGATTTATCAGTCAACTTTTATAATTGTCTCTACATTATTATCAAATTTTCAATTTCAGTTAGTTTACAATTAACTGAGTAGTATTCATTTTCAGAATCGATTGAAGTTTTTAAAAGTATCAAATAACTTAAAAATTGAAGAAGATCAAATAACTCGTTTATACAAAAATTCATCATTTGCTGTAGCAGTGAGAGTGATGGAACAAATAATATGCATTAAATTGCATTTAAGAGATCAGAAATATTTTAAAGGATTTATCACATCAAACCCATATGTTTCAAAGGTTACATACAGTCTAAAGTATCTTTGGAGTTACATGCATATCAGTACTGTGGGTACATCAATAAACTGCATTCGTTGGAATCCCACCAATTCTAATCTCTTAGCAGTTAGTTACGGTCGACAATTCTATAAATTAAGCGGTTATCTCCTTATTTGGAATATGAAACACCCTACTCAACCTGAACGATTTTATAAACTAGATTTTGCAGTTTCGGAGATTAACTGGAGTCATAAGACACCAAATCAATTAGCTATTGGGTGTTATAATGGATCTCTTAGAATTATTGACATAAGTAAAAGAAACTTGATTACATTATATATCATTCCTCAAAAATGTTCATTTACATTTTCACGTATCTGGCAAGTTCAATGGTGGCTTGATAATGGTGACGAATATATTTATGCAAGCAGTGGAAACGGGAAGATTTTTCGATGTCAAGTTAACGATGATGCGGCTGTTACAGAAGTAATGAGAATATCAAGAATCGATGATTGTAAACTCGATATAAAACAGAAAAATAATTATACTTCAAGGTAAAACAAGTTTTGTTTTCAATTGAAATTAAAAGTTATGCCGTTTATACAAAAGTATTTTCACTTGATGTGTGTAGATATGTATAGTGCTAATAACGTTTGTTTAATGATTTTAACACCTAAATGCTTTGCAGTATTTTTTATACTTAGTCCGGTAACTTCATTTTTGTCACTAATCCCTACTTACTAGTTAGGCTCTTATTACTAAGATTTTTAGGTGTGCTACTATTGACTATGTTATAACTTCGAACTAAATCACATGTGCACAAGGACACTAAAAACCTGTCGTAAATTTTTGTTGATAAAGCTAGTTATATATTTTTTTGAATTCTGATATGTTTGCTTTGCAAAGTCATATTGCGATTAAAAAAACGAGCCTTTCATTGAACAGTTCGGTTCGATTATTTTACTTGTTTCTAACCATTTTTTTACTAGAAAATAACTGGGATTCAACTTAAATTTAGCCGAGTTTTAACTGCAAAATTGCAGTCCTGAGAAACTTCGAAGAATTCCAACGGGAAATTTTTTCATTCGCTAAAATTAAGTTAAAAACCATGTAAAACGTATGCAAACATACTTCTTCTGTTTACAACAATTGAATTTATTATAAAAAGCAGAAATTGAGTATAACGATAAAATTCAAATTATTTCCTTTCATCTTCAATACTTACATACATATTCTTTATTTATCAACTCGATCACACAGCAATTAGTTTTCGGAATTGGATTATTCGCAGTCGAAGTTCCTGGGATCTGCTAGTTGGTAAATGATTTTCATTAACATATCAACTATTTTTATAAGAAACTCGGGGATTGTGTCTCATGAGATGCTATACGAATGTATTTGTTGGTGACGCTGTTTGATGTTCTGTCTGAATTTATACGATTTTATTAGAATGAATGTCATTAGATTGAATAAGAACTTGGTAAATTATTTTTATCCACAAATCAACTATATTATAGGAAACTATGGAACCACTACTTACAAAATCCTGCTTTAACGAGTAAAATTTTACTATTTCCTTTGACGTCACTGAGCAATGCTATAAATAGTAAATATTCACTCAGAATTAGTAAATAGTTACCAATTTCTTTTTAAGAGCAGCCAGGAAAAATATTTGCTTTCAAGAGAAAATCAATAGAAAAATGTAGATTTTAATCGGCATTGAGAATAAATATTATAAACCCATAGAGTTCTGATTTTCCCTATCCGCGAATTTGAATAAGATTATAAAAATATGGAAAAGAAACTTTCTGGAAGGCAATGGAATCGAAAATACGAAAATGTTATTGATTATCAGATTCAAGTTCAAATAGGAATGAAGTTTATTCAATGAGAAAATATAGTTGAAAGGATTGCCGTTTAATCAAAAGGAAATAATGAAATATATTCAAATAGGATCTAACATGTTTTAATAGGATGCAGTCTGATTCTATAGGTGAATAAGAAAACAGTTTCTATAGGATTCAGATAACTGCAATACGGAAATAATACTTAAAAATTATTTTCTCCACTCAAACATTACAATGGGAAAAAGTTGAATCCTATAGGATTCTTCAGAACTTGAATAGGAATAGTGAAGAAATTTTTACTACTAAAAAAATGTCTTATACGATGATACAAATCTGAATAGAAATTAAAATGGTGATCATACCCTTTTTTTTTGTTTTCAGCATTGTATCAACTAGAGAGCAAAATCTTAATAGTGAATATCGTGATGAGAAGATATTTTCCAAGTTACATCTTCATGCTTAATGAATTCGTAAACGTTGAAAAAAGTTGATATGTTAATAAAAATTATATACCAATAAGTTCTTATTCAATCTGATGAAATTCATTCTAATAGAATCGTGTACAATTGGATATAGAATCAAACGACGTCACTTACTCATAAATCCTTATAGGATTTTATGAGAAACAGTCTAACAGTTTTTTGTATATTAATTAAAAATCAAAAAATTTTATTTGCTTATCGTTTCTTATAAAATCTCATAGTATTTGTTCTTTACAAAATCTTATAACACTGGATAGAAGGGAAAGTTATCACTTTTACCAATAGATTCTTATTGCAGCTTGTAATATCTTTCTAAAACATTCTCATAAAATTTATGATATACGAAATAAAAAAATATTACTTCCCTATAATTTCTTATTGAAACTTATTACATTGTTTGAAATGATGAGTTTTTGACATTTTACTTTACCAGGGTAGTAACCTACACAATGATACCATTTAATTTTTATGAGATTGGAAAATATAATTCAAGATCACATTGTTTCATATCCTTCTTGAACATTTCTATTAAAGAACGATAAATTCTGTACCCGGCTTAAACAATCCTATTGGGAAAAGGAAGTTTAATAGGAAAATTGCATTGAAAATTTCCTATTGAATCCTGTTGAAGATTTTTTTTCTATAGAAATCACCTGTATCCTATTTAGTTATTCCATTCAAGTACAAAAATTACAATTTCCTTATTGAAAAGAGGCAATTCCGCTTCGATGCTTTAGAATGAATCAATAGAATTTAATGGGAAAATTGTTGTCTCAGAATTCCCTATTGAATTAAGGATAAACCTATTGAACATTGAACCAACATGTCAGACGGTTGGTAACTTTTTTTTACTAAAAGAAAAAATTACGCGTTGGGAGAATTAAAATATATTGCACAGATATATTTCAAATGTTATGAACACAACTTCATATTATCAACAATCATTATTGACTTTTATATTGTCTTCAATGCTATTTTTACCATCCCAACACAAGTTTAAAGTTTTTTCATTGCTGATTCTGTTTTCTAAGAATTTTTTGTTTTATGAAATATCTCCATCATATCTCTATACAATTATTTCAAACATTTAATATGCATATTTTCCATAAAATCTCGACGTTTGGCTGAAAAATGATATAATTTATAAATTTTAAAATTCAGATAGTTCATCATTTTTTCCAGTTTTTTAATTCTGCAAAAAAAAATGACCGGACTAATTTTACTGAAAACCTAATCAGTTCTAAGTTGCGTAATTACGCGTCGATGCCGGTGGTTCCACGTTGATATCATCTTTTGTTCTCGAGATAATCGAGGCGAAAAATAATTCCGAACGCACATACGTACATACACACACACAGACGTCCACTGGAAAACGGCCGTATTCGACTCTGAGGACCTTAAAACGTGGAGATATGTTGAAATTCGGGATTCGCAAAATCGGATCCATTACTATAACTTCCCACTGGTGAGTTAAAAATTACTTTTCTATTAACATACTGCCTAATACGATGCAGTCTGATTCTATAGATCAAGAAACGAAACGTTTCCATAGGATTTAAGTCACTCTAATGGGAAAATAATACTTAAAAAATAATTTTCTACCCTGCTTTAGCTGTCTCAATGGAATATATAGAATCCCATAGACTTTTTTTTAAATTTCAATACAAAACAAAGGGGTCGCATCCAGACCACTGGAGATCACTGATATTTTTTGTATGTTACTACTGCCCAAAGACATTATATGTAATAATTATTACATAATAACTGAACTGACTTCCGATAGGATTCAATAGGAAATTTCCGATGCAATTTTCCCATTTAATCTTTATATAACATGAAACTTAAATTTTATATAATTCTTATTTCACCCATAAATCAAAAAAGTTACCTAACTTGTTACTTTCTTGTTATATTACATTTACATTCTGTGGTCACTGGATTATAATATGTCTTTCCTTTTATTTATCGAAAATTCATTTATATTTCTTTAGATTTTCATTATTTACTCATACTTGGTGAAGAACTGTCGATAGTACATGGTGCATTTTCAGTATAGCACTTAGTTGCTAGGTAGTATTAAAACTGATATCTGAAAAACTACAGTTTCTAGAAATTATAAGGTAGTATCATGTAGACTTCTTGTTTATGATATTTATTCATGCATAATCTTTTTTTCTTGCATAATTTTGAATCATTAATGAGCTGGAAACATTCATGTAAGCTTATTTAACGAAAATGGAATTTCTTTTATTTGCAGATTACTCAGTACGCCAGTGAGAAATGAACCTGAAGCTATTTTGTTACAACGACATCCTATTTTTAATAATATATACTTAGTTGGTTCCGACGAGGGATATATTTATAGGTGTTCAACAGTATATTCGAATTGTTGTATCAATAGTTTTCTCGCTCATGACGGCCCAATTTGTAGTTTAGAATACTCTCCATTTCATCCAAGAATTTTTTTAACCACTGGAGCTGACTGGTGCATTCGAATTTGGGCTGATGATATCATGACACCCTTAATAACATTATCAACTCAAATGTCTCATGTGATCGCAGCTGCATGGAGTCCTAAAAATTCAACCATAATTGCTACTTGTGTCAAAAATGAAATATGTATTTGGGATCTAAAACAAAGTATACAAAAACCAAAATCAATAACAGCATTAAAAAATTTTCAAAAATTAATTTCATTAAGTTTTACACCGGATGGTAACCAAATAGTGATAGCTGATAATAGAGGATTTATTCATGTGTATAATTGTGAAGGAATACCTTTCAAACCATTAAATCAGACTGAAATGTTAGTAGAATCGATAAAGAAAAAACTAATGACCAAGCAAAATTTACTGCAACAATTCCAAAAACTTGATAAATTATTTTGAAAAATTTAAATAATCGGTAATAAATATAGGTGATTCATTTGTAGGGAGGCATAGGAATTTTTCATAATATAAATGTTCATTCATGACCAAATATCTTTATAATTTATCGATTAAAACTATGAATTATAAGTTATAAAAGAAAAAGACTGATATATAAGTTCTTGATGTTATATTTTATAAAATAGTCCTTTATTATAAGAAATACATTGAAAGGGAATATGATTGGAGACATTCAATAGATTGTTTTTATAAACGATTCAATATCCGGCTTAGACAATCTTATAGAGAAAATGGAAAAATTACATCAGAAATTTCCTATCAAACGCAATGTATCTCCTATTGAATCCTATTGGAAGTGTGTTTCTTATAGGGAACCATTGTATCCAATTCAATTGTCCCATAGAGATATACCGAATCCTCTTCGGTTTTTCTATAGGAATAAAAAAATTGTTCATACGATTGTAATATTAACTTTATAATCATATTCAACTTTTTTCTTTCTTTTTCAATTTCTCAATAGGATTAGATGTTATTTAATAAGATTTTAATGTTTTCGAATGTTCCTATTAAATTAAAGGTAAACCTATTGAACATTTCAATAGAATCTTATTACCACAGAAAAAAAATCAGTTTAAACAAAAAGAAATGTATAATTCACTCTCGAGGTTTTTTGTTTATACGGTGTTATGCCGTGGATAGTTTTCAGGATTTTAATTAATTTGTAAACACAGATTTTATTTTAAGAGGTCACAAATTTATTAATTCACTTAAGCTTAGTTACACTTAACTGGTTTACACTAATATTATAGGTGAACAATTATTTCTATTTATAATTGAATACTATTATCTTATTGATTATATTCTATTTCTCATCCTTCTACTGATTCTAATAGTTTTTGTTTCTACTTCGATCAAGGCTTCCTTTCTACTGACTTAAAAAAAAATATGAATGAATTATCAAATATAAAAGTAGTGCATCGTGAAGGTGTTACTGCGCTTGAGAAAAAGAATTGAAATAGCTGCTCTGAGTCTCGAGACACAGGCGTAAGGACATCACCGTCAGCATAATTCCAATACGAAATGATGTGAGGTAGTCGCGGCGTAACACCCCCACCTTTAGATTGAAAAATCTCCGAAAAGGGAGATTTTTCTAACAATATTAGGATAAGTTTTCGAATTCTGATAACCGTAATTGTGATTTATTTAATTTACTTCTTTGATTAGAATGGTGATTTGGCTTATTATTTTCTGAAACACTATTTAGGTCCGAGGAAATGGAATTTGCATAGCATATGGTTTTCATTGAAATTTCATGGGAAGAATTTTCGTCATTATTAATTTGAGATGTAGAATGTGAAGCACAATAATCGATTAAACGATTGTATGATGAAAAGAACCTATTTACTATGCAGTTAATTAATCGGAAAATTCTTAATTTGTAAGCTACATATAGTAGAACTAGCACGCCTAAGGAATACACAGTATAGGTAAACAAAAAAATTATTTTTTCGTAAGTAGTTTTTGTTCGTTCATGATTTCCTATTTCAATTGCTTCTCTTTTAATTTCGTTCAATTTAGTTCCATATTTGGTTGAATCTTCAATTTTTACATCTGGTGTTTCTATTGAATGGATTTTAAGTAGACTTAGGTTCATAGTTGAATTGTTGATCAATTGAAAATGTTCGTTAAAGCTATAGTGAACTAATGGTATAAAGGTTTGATTATTATCGGAATTTACACTTTTATAAGAGTTTAATATAAGATTATTAGAGACAACACTACATCCAGGTGCAATCCACAATATTTTTGTCCCATTGACAATTTTATCTATTATTGTGTTATCGCAAATAATTTTGATAGTCTCAGGTTTCGGCGCTAAATATAACCATCTGCCGTTACTCTTGCATTGTATCCAAATAGAGTTTTTTACATTAATTACTTTGATTTCGCAATCATTTTCGCTTATATTAATCGGTTCATTAACAATTTTGCTCATACAGATGTCTTGATTCTGAATAAAATATTTTGGATGTATTGTTTTACAGAAATAGAGTGATTTGTGTACCTTACAAGTTTCTAAGAAATATTTATCGCTAGGTGTGTATAATAATCTTTCGTTATTAGTAATTATGTAGTCGTTAGGATTTGATATATACGCCAATAAATGATTTCTTATTAATTTAGGAGCAGGAATGGCTCTGTATGCCTTAAAATTTCCTATTTCTAAGATTGGTATTATGATTACATAAACAAATCTATATCCTATTACACTTATTGCTACGTCACTTATCTCTAAGTATTCAAAAAAGTTACCTTCATGTATAGCGATTGGCATTTCATTAGCTCTTCTCTTATCTCTTATTAATTTTATTGAACTCATAAGTAAATCTGGTGTTAATAATTGAGAATTTATTTGACCAATTTTTGCAAAACTAATGGATTGAACTATCATGTTAACATTCCTATTGAATTCTATTAAGGCTAACTCAACTTCTACACAAAGGTCAGTAATAATAGTATCCTTTTGGATAACATTTTCTGTTTCTAAAATTTTTTGAAAGGTTTTGTCAATATTTTGAAAATTTAGGTTTATTTTATCAAATTTTTCGCTGTATTCTCTGAAAAGACTTTCAGCTTTATGGATCGTTAATTGTAATATGTATGTTTGATTTCGGAATAATTCACTTATCCTTTTATTATCTCTATGAACAGCATCTATCTCAGTATTGTAATAAGTTGCATCATCTGAACTCATAGTCCCGAATAAAATTTTAGAAATTTGTCCGACAAAATTAAATATACCCCTTTTTTCTCTAATTAAGTTTGGAACTCCTATGGCAGAAACTAATTTATACTTATCTTGTCTAAGCGTTTCAAATTAATTACGTATTCTTTTAATCAAATTCGCCTCGGTACAGTTATTGTTACAAAATGTGTTGATCATGTTGAGTCCTTTTCTGATCTCTGATTCTTGGAACGTCAATTCATCCAGGTTGATATATGATACTACGTTGTAAGTCTCGTGAAAGAATCTTACATCTCCCAAGTACTCCATGTACATGTTTGGTAATACGGGAAAATCTGTTTCCCTGTAAATTTCTTTGCTACCATCAGAAAATTTAATCAGGAAAATTCTGAAACAAATTTATATTAGCATATTTTAATCTGTTTGCATGAACAATAATTTTCTTATTATTTTTTATTATTTCATAGTTAACATCGGACGTCTTATCGGATATTTGATATGGTCCTTCCCATGGTAGGTTGAGTGCATGCGATTTATTATTGGCTACACTCTTTTTCCGTAACCAGATCAAATCGCCAGGTTTAAATTCTTGAGGATTACTCATTCTATCATACCTATCTTTGGCTCGTTGTTTACTTTCGGATATCATCAAGGTTCTTTGATAACTTGCATTTTAATTCATTGAGATACTCGGTGTATGGTATATTATGACGCTTCTTAACTGATGATTCGTCCGTTGCGTTTTGGCCAAATACTAATTCACAGGGTGTAAACTTAGTTCCTTCATGTTTCGATGTGTTATAATACAATGTTGCAAAATGGATGACTTCATCCCAATTTTTGGCATTTTCATCACAAAAATGTCGTAGAAAATCTTTTAATACTTGATGACTCCGTTCAAGACTTCCGTTACTTTGAGGGTGAAAACTAGTTGTAGTTATCTGTTTTATCCCCAAGAGTTTTTCGAAATTCTTCATAAGTTCACTGGTAAAGTTTGTTCCTTTATCCGTTAAGATATTTTGTGGTACTCCAAAATAACTGACCCAATGTTTCAAGAATTCATTGATAACTGTAGCGGCTGTAAAATTTTTTAAAGGTATTGCGACGAAATCTTTTGTTAATTGATCTTGTATAGTTAGTACGTATCTATTTTCGTACGTATTGAATTTATTTGGTGTATCAGTGATCACCATTAGCATTTTGGTTGGGTTTCGATTGATTTTGTTTCGTTGACAGGTTATACAATTTTTCACATAATTTTCAACATCCTTCCTCAACGATTCCCAAAAACAATTCTCTGCGATTCTATAATAGGTTTTCTTGATTCCTCCATGTCCTCCCGTGAGGCTATCGTGGTTTTCTTCCAGTATTTTCGGTATCTCTTCTTCTGTTGGGATCATTCTGTGTTTATCATGGAGATAAATTGTAGTTTGACTTTTTCGAAATTCTTTTATCCAGATTTTCTCCAATATTTTGCTTGGAAAACCACTTAACTGAACGCATCCATCGTGGAGTTCTTCAAGTTCCTCGTTCATTGTTATTTGTTTTATTTCTTGAATTTTTTCTTTCAATTCTTCAAGATTTCCTTCTGCATTAATTCTAATAATAATGTAATATTCTTGGCTGTCCTCCTCAGAGTAGACTTCTATGGGTTGGGAATTTTCTCCTCGAATGAATGATACATCAACACTACCCTCAGGTATTGGATCATTCGTCAAGATAATATGTTTTCCTAGCTTCGCTCGCGAGGCTAATTCCGGTTGTAGAACATTTTCTGTATTCTTTTCCTCTTCTTTATCTTCTACTTTCCTTTCTTTATTTACTGCTTGAGGTTCACTCAGCTTCTTTTGTTTCTTAACTTGATTCTCTGATTCTTCTCTTTCTATTTCTTTCCTTTTCTTGTTGGCTAAATTCGTATTCTTTTTCTTTCGGTATGCTAGTACTGGGTTCCTCGATAGTGCATCTGCATTCGTGTTTAGAATGCCTTTCTTGTAGACAATTTTGTAGTCATAATCTTCTAGCATGATCCTCCATCGAGCTAAGCGTGAATGGGGATCTTTTAGATTCATTAACCAAACTAGTGGCCTGTGATCGGTTATTATCTTGAACTTGCGACCATACAAATATGGGCGAAAATGTTTCACACACCATACTACTGCTAGTTGTTCTTTTTCAATCGTTGAATAGCGTTGTTCAGCTGCATTCAATACTCGACTGGTATAGGATATTGGATGTTCTTTCCCACCTTTTTCTT